ACACATTTCACCTCCATTTCACCTAAAGGAAAGTGACGATGAGGTCGATAATGGAGCATTTACACCTAAAAAATACCTATTCACTCTCGCCTTGAAAAGTCCCAAGTTAAACCGTTCAAGTCTGCAGGCAGGGAATTCCACTCCATTGCCGTTCGCCATATAAATATAGAAGCAAGGTATATGGCTGGGATATTAACATTTAATTGCACAAAAGTTCGTTAATTTTACTGCTTTATTAAGTAACACGCAGACTTGGCGTGAGCACAAAGACATGTCAGACAAAAATGTATTTTCCTTAGGCTGTTTGTCAGACAAAAATATATTTTCCTTAGGCTGTTAATTGACGAGCAAAAGTGACGTAACTACACACGTGAATGGTGGTATATTCTTTATCATGAGTTGTATCTACTCAAATTAAGTTAGCTGCAGTTTCAGTAATTTTTGAAACAAGACAGAATTGTAGTAACTTGAAGACCATTTCTGCTACTCGTTGAAATCAAAAGGCTTTCTGGCTAAGGTTTTAACTAGAGCTTTCAATCTCGCTATATTTTCACGTCTCAGGAAGAAATATCGAGATTCGGTGCAGTCTCGAAAATCTTGGGAAAAACGAGACTTTCCAGACTATTTCAAAAGTACCTATAGATTCCGATATATCTAGTTTCCATATATTTAGACAGTCAAAACATTGAAAGTTCTTTAGTAACTCAGATTATGTAATGAGAAATGATTTATTAAAGTATTTTTTCTTTTTCACTTTACACAAATTTTTACTTTTCTGTACGTAAGAAACAAAGGGCGTTTAATACAGTTTCAAATAGGATACACCTAATTTTGTTACTACCGTTCTTTATTCGCCACAGATAGCTCCACTCTTCATTATTGCCATGTCCGTATTACCAGAATAAAAAATATTGTTGATTTAGAACGTTTTTAATGCTTTTTAAGTGTCACAAATCTCGATAATCTCGAGACTGAAAACATCGGTCTCGAATCTAAAAGGCCAGAAAAATTGTGGAGACTTCCAAATTTTCGAGACGGGATGAAAGCTCTAGTTTTAACTTTTACGGTATCTAAACAAGGTAAAACCCGGATACACGCTCATACATACATCCAACCGTGGTACATTCTGACTTGATGCGAGAATGCATTATGTAAGATGTCTGCAGTAGAATTCTGCTCTTGAATTATTTAAACGCTTCGGCATTACCTACTTTGTCCGGGACGGTAGATGGATGGTATTTTTAAATAATGACTTTTTACGTGTAGGAAATTAGATACTAAGTAGGTTAAGGTTTTGACATTTGTAAGCTAAATTGTATCTATAATTTTATTTTATTTTATTTTAATTGTATCGCAATTCTTTATCAATAATTTGTAATGTTGCCTAAGCTTGTGGGTGTTTTGGATACGCTTTGTGAGCCCACTCGCAATATTGATTAAATAAATAAATAAATAAATAAATGGTTGACGAAAATGTATGACTAGCACCAACACTGTTTTTGATTGTTATACCTATACAGTATTATAATACATAGAAAGTATAACTTCCTTCACATCATTTGGATTGGGGATGTTGTATTAGCTTAAAATTTAACGTTTCACTCTTAAGAATTTCTAGCACATCTTTTCGTGTGCATTAATAGAATATGCTATCAATTTTAACATCATTGCTTCGAGATATTCGGTACAAGACTGAATTCGGTAGCAGTTTGGCTTTGACTTGCAAACTCAAACGCTAATATTTTATTCAGAATAGAATTTAGGATTTTGTACGTTCACACAGCATGAATACAAATTTATGTTCGTTTTTACTTCACGTTTAACGTGACAGCTACTAATTGTGTTTAGGGAATGTGTATTTTTCAAGGGCTCGACGGTCAATTTTTACAAAAAGTTACAGTTTTAAATATCTGTGGTAGTGTCAACACACCATTCATCAATGGTGTGAACATTCAACTTTGTATCTTACGTATGTCATGACGCTGACAAATTTCTCCCAATAGATCCATTGATTTTATAGATTCGATTTGGTAGGAAAAAATGGGCACTGGTCTACAAGCTATTGTAGACTAGGATATTATTAAATTTAAATTTAATATTCGCCATAAAAATATTTAATAATAGTGCACGCACCATTTTTATTCTTAATAACAAGAAGTTACAAATTCTTCTCTTTAGCTAGTCGAAAACTTTGTGTGAAATTTAATTTCGAAGCCCGATATTGAGTTACAAATTAATTGAGTTGTGATTTAGACTGTTGGACAAAGTTTATTTTATTCATTCAATAATTAAATGTTAGAACTTTATTATGAAACATTATTTATGAAAATGTTGCGGGGTTAACTCCCTTCAAGTTTTCAAACCTGTGGAAGGTACTGATTAGAGTTAAGTGTTGTAAAGGTCAGGGAAATGTGACTATTAGAAAGGCCAATAAAAGTAAGCATTAATACTCTCGTCAACAAGATGAGGACAAAACGATGGTTTTCTGGAATAGCGACCTGTCTCAAAAAGTAAGGCTCAACTCACACTGGCACAGAGTGCGAAGCGTCGCGTCTCGTGCTGCTTTTCAACTACAATGTATGGCGACGCGTGACGACACGCGGCGACGCTCGCGTTAGCACGCTCGGATCACAGTGCTGGTCCAGTTCAGAGACTTTTGAACATTCGTGAATGGCGCTCGTGTTCGACAGTATACAATGGTTGATATCGACCTTATTATAATTGCTCTTATATCTATAGTTGAAGAGGAAGAAACTGAAATTATATCAGAAGCTGAAGGGAGAAAAAGAAAACGGAAATTTTGCATTCACGGGCTATGGAAGAAAAGACGTATACTTGGCGAATTCAAAACATTTTGTAGTAACGGTTTAAGCCGGGGCTCAAGATATTTTTATGATTATTATGTTATATACATATATGTAGATATCCATATTTTTGGATTAACTAAATTAATTTTTCGTCTTCATCAATTTTCGCGCACTCGTCTCGTCGTAGTTCGGCACTGTGCTATGTGTCTTGTGTGGACGGCGTCAGACGCATCACTGCGCGAGTAAAGGAAGTTGTCGACTTTACACAAGCGTCGATTTCATAGTTGAATAACGCAAATTTGCACCATAATAAAAGGAGAATAGAGATGAATATGCTATAGGCGAAAAACGTGACACATCGCTACGCTTCGACTCTGCGCCAGTGTGAGTTGAGTCTAATTCATGAAGAAGATGGTGTAAAAAAGCTGAAGCGTATCTGGCATGTGTAGGTAGTCGAAGAATCGTTTGTATAATGAAGTAATGTGATTAATTATCTTAACCAATGAAAATCTCGGTGTCTTACTGCTAATAAATTTTGTTCATTCTTAATACAGCTCACACCTTTAGAATGAAATGGACCTAAATAAAAAATAAATAAAAACTGAGCTTATACCGTAAAACAACTTAATTTTTTTGATAATATCAAGTGACAGGACGAACAAGTCGTGCACCTGATGGCAAGGTACACGCCTGTCCATAACAGTTGCAGTCCCACTAAGATGTTTAAATCGCAAAGACACGAGAAGCATTGCTACTGCTCCCGTCACCCTGAGACGTAAGTTGACAAGTCCCATGTGCCAGTAATTTCACTAGCACCCTTCAAAATCGGAACATAGTAATGCTGACATTACTGCTTGGCGGCAGAAGTAGGTAAGTATCCAGTACCCTGGATGAATTCATTTACAAGGAGCACTACTGCTACTATTATCATCATTCAATCATGAGGTTGTTAATCTGGAACTGACTCATTAAAGCTCCAATGGCACAGTCGCACTATAAGGGTCACTTTTATATTAAGTTTGGGATTCCACTCCCGCGTTGGTATGTAAACGTCGCATTTAGTATTGAATCTGGATCTGCAAAGACAACATGCCACCGCTCTTCGTGAAAAAGTGACGGATTAGCAATTGACCCGCTTTCGTTTCGAAAATGATTTATTGATGATTAAATTTTTACAAACGCGATAGTTGTCTGTCTTTTATAATTAAAACGGTTTAATCTTGATAAGGCCATAACATCTTGTTTTGTTGGTGAAAATGACTTAATTGTTGTTAGGTCAAATAAAAACAAAAAAGTTTAGTAGAAATGTAACCTTATAACGACCGGTTTTTGTAAATTATATTTGTAAATTGTTACACATTAAAACAATTAGAAACAATGTTTGAGGCTATAAAGTTGAATGTTACCATTATTTTTCAGGCCTGACCAGACCATTACTGCCTCTTAACTGCCTGCGTAGCCAAATGGTTACCATGCTGGTCTGTCACGCTGAAGTTGCGGGTTGGATTTCCGGGCCGGGAGAAATATTTCTATGGCCTACATTTATTTCTCTCGTGAGTTTGGGTTTAATTTGTGATTGTCTATGTGTGTGTCCACGGCATGATACAGGGTTGGCCTAGTGCGGGGCTATGAGCGTGTGCCTTATTAATTATACTTGGTTATTTATTATTTATTATCTTTAGTACTTCAAGAGTAATAAATTAAATAATGAGATAATGTCACTCATGGTCATTTAAAAAAATTAATTTAGGCCACTATTCTATGGCTGCCTTTCCATTAGAGTAGTGGCGCTTTGAAACGTTGTGACGTTTTCCACCAAAGCTGTGCGAGGTAGCTAGGTGGTGAGAGGATGTGCAGGGGCGCGGTTCGAAGAAGCGTTACGGACTCTTTTCAGCTATGCGAGGGCAGGGTACGGGTAACCACCCCACCATGGTGAGTGTCAGTTAGTGCATAGTTGCAGTAGCTCTAGTTTCCTGCACCGTTTTGCACACATTCCTCGCCCACATCTATCGCATTTTCCACCGGAGCTACGCTAAGTGAGGCTAGGAAAATGAAGTAATCCTATTGGTGGATTTTTTCCTCGCACATCGACTCTCTATGTCGCATACCTCTCGTGGAAAGGCAATCTAAAAGCGGCGAAATGTATATTATGTAAATTGTACATACAGAAGAAAGGATGAATGGTTTTCTTACCTTTAAAAGCTGATCATCAGCCTTTGCCAGTATAAGCTCGCATCCTTCTCGATGAGCGAAAACTTTTCGAGCCTGCACTTTCAAATGGAAGGTTCTGTCTATGAGTGGTGTAGCCACATTCCTCTCCAGAGCTGCTGACGCATTGCTGTAGCCGACTACATCAGCTTCAACCTCTTGGAGTAAAGTTTCCCATGTATGGAAGAGAGATGATGGGCAGGTTGCTCTGGAAAAGAAGATGATAGATTTAACGAAAAATGTAGTAATTGTAATATACATTATGATGATGCGAAAATAACAAACAGGTAAATTGAAATTTGTTGTAGCAACACGTGCCGTGATTGGAATAAATGGTCTTGGTAGGTAGTGGTGATTTTTAACATTATGCACATGAAAAATATCATATTTGTTATATTATAAAGAATTATTCTGCCTTCAGAGGAAAGAAATAAGGCACGAGCAACAAATTTTAAATTCGTCGACAAATGTGTGTAAATATTTTTTAGATTATTCTGATAAAAAGAATGGTCAAAATACATATTTGATATTAAGTAGTTTATTTATATTATAAATACATACCACATAGGAAATGAAACTATTTTTCCGGATTTAAATCGCGTATATTTATTTTTTCAAACAAACCTGGTCCACCGTGACCATGGGACCTGTAAAGCGCCCGAAACGTCGGTTTGTTTGAAAAAACAAATATACGCGATTTAAATCCGGAAAAATAGTTTCATTTCCTATGTGTAACTATCGCGAAAACCTAAGAACTCGATATATATACCACATGTTTTATACCGAAACTTACATTGTATTTTAATCAGCATATTTAGTAATCCCTTAATTTTTTCTTTTAAGTTAGTTGAAAAAAAAAAAAAAAAAAATATATATATATATATATAAAAACTGCATATAAAGGCCAGAACTAATTTAAAAGTGACTTTTAATACTTGACTCATAACTACAACTATAGGGCACAATTGTATTAAGGTGTACCTAATTGTGTTATTATAATTATTGTAGTAAATGTTATTAGCAGTAGAGCTCCTTGGGAAAGAGTTCGTCCAGGGTAGTACTGCCACCTTATCTATTTCTGCCGCCAAGCAGTAATGTCAGCACCAACCGGAACGCAGTAACAGTTTTGAAGGGTAAGGGTGATGGTCAAATTACAGGCACATGGAACTTATCAACTTATGTCTCAGGGTGACGGGCGCAGTGGCAGTGCTTCTCATGTCTTTGCGATTTAAAGATTTGAGTGGCACTGCAACTGTTATGGACAGGCGTGTAGCTTATCATCAGGCGCATGACTTGTTCGTCCTGTCACTTGATATTATAAAAAAATATTGTAATTGAACTACATAATAAGGGCACAGTTCCGTACATTACAAAGTAAAATTCTTTGTTATTAGTGTATGTATATACATATATTATAATTATAGTAAACAATCTGAATATTGAAGTCGGTTGTGCCCTTTGAGCTTGCTTTTAAAATGAACATTATTATTTGCATAATTATAAAGTATAAAAATTGTTCAGTACGGAGAGTTGAGAAATTGAGATTGCCATATGAATATTTCCTGTTTTACAAGTTTTGAAATAAAAGATTCCGGCAGACTTGTAATACGTATGTACCTAATTATTTCGTCATATGCAATTTATACATTAAAACATACATTGTCGGGATATACCACTCACCTAAGTGGTAGTAGTATGCACAAATTTTTCAATTGATTTTTAAAAGTTATTCTGTTTATTAAAACGACTATCGCGGTAAATATAAAATTATAGAAAAACTCAAATTGTTTTAAAACTAACTTTTAGTAAAATATCGATGGCTTTCTATAGAATATAATATAGAATTCTGTAGAATAGCGGCCTTTTTTATTTCAAAAACACCTACATTCGGTCGTCAGGTCATTAACCAATAGAGCATATGACCTTTGTGATGTACCCCACCTGCCACAGGAACAGGAGCACGTTAAGACAGTTTTGCGACAGAATGGATACGAAATATTATGCGCTGTTACCTTAGCTTTAAGCCATTGTCATCCTTGTAACATTATGGTAAATGCAATAAAGAATTGAATTGAATTGAAATAAAAACATGTAAACCAATATACAGAAGGAAAAAGCAAATTGACGTACAGAGACTACCAGTTTTTCTGCCCTAAGTACAAGGAGTGACAGATAAAATGGGCAGGTTGTTAAGGAAGTTTTCCATAAAAACTGTTTTCACCCCGTTAACCAAAAAAAGGAAACATGTTACGTTCACCAAAATACCACCTTCCTTTACAATAGTCTATAAAGTGACCTGTAGTTGTGGGAGCTCGTATATCGGTCAGACTAAACTGACAATTGTCGACTGTATGAAGTAACACATCCGAGCAGTAAAAAACAATGTTGCACAGAAGTCAGCTGTAGCACAACATCTCGCACAGACTGACACTGACCTGTGGATCGAGTTTCATAGCCCCCAGGTACTGTCGACAGAATGTCACTACATACCACGGTTGGTACGAGAAGTCATCGAAATCACGAAGTACAAAACATTTAACCGTGACGATGGTTTTAAACTGTCCAGTGCATGGAATCCGGTCCTTAGTGCGTGCAGTAATAAACACAAAAACACCTCGAGTTCAGTTTCGCGTGTGGATACAGTGAGAGTCGTATTCTAGAACTCTACTCAATGCTCAAGTCAGGACTTGAGTATGATTCAAAGCACTAGAAATCATACTCAAGTCCTTGCCATTAGAGTCGTATTTCCAGTGCTTGAAATCATACTCAAGTCTGCTCAAATCCTGACTTGAGCATTGAGTAGAGTTCTGGAATACGACCCTGAGTGTGGTTTGTGGGATAAAAATGTGTGACAATGGTAACGCCACAACAAATCGCGATGAAGGTAGTAGTCGTCGACAGCGCAAAAGGTAGATAGATATGTCTGCTCTTAAAGCTGTCATCTGCCGCTGTTCAGCCAAACTGTGACCATGGAGCGTGTAACCGTTCCGAAACATCGGGAAAATAAATAGAAGTCATACCGTGGTAAGATGCCTGAAATTAGTGATAATCGTTTAGTGAATAACCATGAAAGCCTCGAAATCTATATAACGTCTAATTCATTAGACAGATTGTTAAAGAAAAAGCTGAATCGTATCTGGCGCGATAAACAACGAATGTTCTTGCTCAAACAAAGCTCCTTGTGAAAGAGTTCGTCCCGGGAAGTACTGCCACCTTACCTATTTCTGCCGCCTAGCATTACTGTGTTCCGGTTTTGAAGGGTAAGGATGCTGGTGAAATTACGGGCACATGGGACTTGTCAACTTATGTTTCAAGGTGACAGACGCAGTGTCAATCAGATCTTTGCGATTTAAACCTCAGAGAGGCACTGACATGAGACATATGGACCGACGTGTAACTTACCATCGGGCACACGACCTGTTCATCCCGTCACTTGATTTTATAAAAAAAAGGTAAATGTTGGTCCATGGGTTTCGTCCCTGGAGCAATAGAGAACTGTAAAAGGCTCAGGTACGTTAACTTCAGCTAGGCCCTTTTGCGGTTTTAAACTCTGTATCCCTGGGGCCAAAGCTAAAACTTCTCGCTCAGAAGCTTTCAGTTTATCTCGTTAAAGCCCCCGGCGAACAGAATGCTGGCGGCTCCTACCGAAAGATAATAAAATTTAGCCCAAGTCATGGCAATCCTGGGCAAAATGCCTCATGCCACGATCCTTAGGTTCGTTCTTTTATATATATATATATATATTCTTTATTGCACAAAATACAACAAAAAAATTTATTACAGGAAAAATGAGCAAAAGTGGACATAACTCTATAATAGATCTCTCTCAGCCAATCCAAGGCAGTGAGAACAAAGGTCAAAAGCGGGCAACACTGTGCAAGAGAGAAGGAGGGAGAAAAATAATAAACTTAACAAATGAATAAAACAAAAAGAGTAATCTCAGTAAAGAGTTCAAAAAAACCGACCTCAAAAGTTCGTGGAATTACACCTATTTGCCAAGTTTTATTGAAATCGGTTACCGGAAAGTGCGCGAAACCGGATTCATCCCCTACTTTGCCACCCTTACATGTAGAATATTTTCTTTAAATTGAAATGGAACCTCTACTGACTTTTTTAAATTGTAAAGAGGGTACCTCTTTACAATAAAAAAAGAACCATCACAATCGGTTTACTAATGTCGGAGTTATCGCGTAACATATATACAAAAAAAAATACTGTCGAATTGAGAACCTCCTCCTTTTTTGAAGTCGGTTAAAATACCGACACTTTAAAAAAATATTTAATATATAATAACTAACGTGAATACACACATAAATACAGTATACTAATTCCTTTACTTAACGCCGCCGTGTAAACATACTTCCAAACTTGGATTAAAACAATCTTTTTATCTAAAAATGCCATTAGCCCTATGTGATTCCTTATCAAATAAGTACCTACACCCTAGCCAAGTGGTCTCTAATGTCACTACTGTGCCAATAAAACATAACGGCAAAACTTTTATCAATATCTGTTAAGTATATCTAACTTTTGACGTAGTGGGAGCTGACACTTGAGGGCCTGCGGTTAAGTGGGGAGATATCACAGAGATTGCCCAAAAACGAGGTCACAGGCTTTCATATCTCTTTATGTGCTTCATCCACCGAGCTGACGTCACTAGAAGACAGATTTGATTGATTTTTAATTCCGTATCACGCCATATAGCCAACACGTTTGGTGTTTATTATATTACGCCCTATATGCTAAGATATAGTTTCCCAAAGTGGTCCCTACCGCCCCTCTGTGGGCGCTGAAGAGTCCTAGGCGATCGGTAGAAGCCTCAGTAGCAATCTGGTTGATACTGTAAAACCTGAAATGTATATATATATATTTCCTTGTGATTTTTTGTGTTAATATAGAAAGTACGTGTTTTTAATTATTTTTTGTGGTGGTGGGCTTTGAATTTTTTTCTTGTCAAAGGGGGAAGCTTTCGTGCAAAAAGCCAAAGGCTCAACTCACACTCGCGCGTCGACACGCGTCGTGGAGATTTGTCATCTCTAGACTCAAAGCAGCTGGAATGATAAGCGATTTTTTTTTAAATATGCCAAGTAACGGGACGAAAATGTCGCGGGCCTGGTGGTAAGCGACACGCCTGTTCATTACAGTTGCAGTGTCACTCAGCTGTGAATCGCAAAGATCTGAGGTGCCACTGCCACTGCGTTCGTACAC